AAAACATTAACGAAACAAATACGAAACAATAACGAATCGATTCGTTAATGGCGGACGCGACCGCGCAATACGCTAAAAAACCTCCAAATGGGACAGGGGGAACTTCTGAAGCTTCCCTCTCCCTCTGTTGTTGACTGTTGGTGTGATATTATAATTTTTTTTCACTAATTAAACAAAAAACAACTATAAAACTTGCCCCAGACATGCGGAAATAATAACGAAACGACCTCAAACCGATAACGAAACGAATACATAACGAATCCGAAGCATTTACGGAACGAATTTAAAAATTCGTTTCGTTTTTAAGTTGCTCCAGAATGGTTCGTTATCGCTTCGTTATAAAAAAAATAACGAATTTTTAACGAATTACGAATTAACGAAACGAAACCGCCCAGCCCTAGTGGTAACTATTGCTTCCCACCCTCCAAGTCAGCACCAACTGGGATTGCCACTTCTATGCCACAATTAAGTCTTTCTATTCAGAAGAGTTGAGACATACTCTGTGGTTAGACCAGTGGTTCTTAACCTGTGGGCCGCAGAGCCTTTTTACTCTTTATTGTATTTTATTTATTTTGTTTCCACTCCTTTCGCACTGCCTGTCACTCCTTCCCTGTCACTGACAATGGCATATGCTCTGTATCAAAAACTAGAGCTGATGTGGTCTATCCAATGCAATTTTCTGAATCAGCACCCCAAACCGAATCTAAAGTTGACCAAAAACTGATTCGTAACCCTTTTGGTACTAATGTTGGAAAGTGGTCCCTGGTCAAAGTGGTTCTAGTCAAGTGGTTCCTGGTCAAAGTGGTCCCTGGTCAAAGTAGTCCCTGATCAAGTGGTCCCTGGTCAAAGTCGTCCCTGATCAAGTGGTCCCTGGTCAAAAAGGGGTTAGGAACCATTGGATTAGAGCTACCGGATATTAGTTTTTTCAGGGACCCGCACGCAGACCACATCCTGCAGGCCGTACACTCCTGCATCCTGCTGGTGAAGTGTGCCAAGTACAGTTGCACATCCTCCCCTTCCTAGACAGTGTCCTGGGGCTGACTGCCACTCCTCAGAGCCATGGAGAAGCAAGGGAGGACAAAAGCAACTAGGCGCCCAACTGGCTCCATTCCTGTAACCAGCATCAGGAATAATACACCACCTTCCTGGATCTCTGGGGGATTCATAGGATACTCAAGAGCAGTGTTACCAGCTGTTAGGAATTGTGGGAGCTGAAGTCCAAAACTCTGCTCTGGAGCATGCCAATTCCTTTCTAGAACTGGCTGCAGGAATAGAGCCCACTGACCCCAAACCTCCACTAGCCAGTGAATGACTGTGAGAAGGAGTGTCTTTCCTGTAGATAGGTAGGCAACTCAAGTGGGATGTTGTAGCAGATGGAGGTGCTGAATTGCCATGACAAAAAAGCACATACACAGGATGCCAGGCAGACACATATTACTATAAAAGATAAGTATATGGCTGAAAATAATTTATAGAAAACAGCTGCTGTTCAAGATGGGTTCTGTTGAAAGTTTTGGGGTAGAGATTCTAAGGGATAGACATAGTTTTGGGGCATTAGAATTATAGAATCAAAGAGTTGGAAGAGACCTCATGGGCGATCCAGTCCAACCCCCTGCCAAGAAGCAGGAATATTGCATTCAAATCACCCCTGACAGATGGCCATCCAGCCTCTGTTTAAAAGCTTCCAAAGAAGGAGCCTCCACCACACTCCGGGCAGAGAGTTCCACTGCTGAACGGCTCTCACAGTCAGGAAGTTCTTCCTCATGTTCAGATGGAATCTCCTCTCTTGTAGTTTGAAGCCATTGTTCCGCGTCCTAGTCTCCAAGGAAGCAAAACACAAGCTTGCTCCCTCCTCCCTGTGGCTTCCTCTCACATATTTATACATGGCTATCATATCTCCTCTCAGCCTTCTCTTCTTCAGGCTAAACATGCCCAGCTCTATAAGCCGCTCCTCATAGGGCTTGTTCTCCAGACCCTTGATCATTTTAGTCGCCCTCCTCTGACACATTCCAGCTTGTCAATATCTCTCTTGAATTGTGGTGCCCAGAATTGGACACAATATTCCAGATGTGGTCTAACCAAAGCAGAATAGAGGGGTAGCATTACTTCCTTAGATCTAGACACTATGCTCCTATTGATGCAGGCCAAAACCCATTGGCTTTTTTTGCCGCCACATCACATTGTTGGCTCATGTTTAACTTGTTGTCCACGAGGACTCCAAGATCTTTTTTACACGTACTGCTCTTGAGCCATGCATACCCCATTCTGTATCTTTTAATTTCATTTTTTTCTGCCTAAGTGGAGTATCTTGCATTTGTAACTGTTGAACTTCATTTTGTTAGTTTTGGCCCATCTCTCTAATCTGTCAAGATCGTTTTGAATTCTGCTCCTGTCCTCTGGACTATTGGCTATCCCTCCCAATTTGGTGTCGTCTGCAAACTTGATGATCATGCCTTCTAGCCCTTCATCTAAGTCATTAATAAAGATGTTGAACAGGACCGGGCCCAGGACGGAACCCTGCAGCACTCCACTTGTTACTTCTTTCCAAGATGAAGAGGAAGCATTAGTGAGCACTCTCTGTGTTCGTCCACTTAACCAATTACAGATCCACCTCACCGTAGTTTTGCCTAGCCCACATTGGACTAGTTTCCTTGCCAGAAGGTCATGGGGGACCTTGTCGAAGGCCTTACTGAAATCCAGGTACGCTACATCCTCAGCATTCCCCGCATCTACCCAGCTTGTAGCTCTATCGAAGAAAGAGATCAGATTAGTCTGGCATGACTTGTTTTTGATAAATCCATGTTGACTATTAGCGATGACTGCATTTGTTTCTAAGTGTTTGCAGACCGCTTCCTTAACAATCTTTTCCAGAATCTTGCCCGGTATCGACGTGAGGCTGACCGGACGGTAGTTGTTTGGGTCATCCTTTTCCCTTCTTGAAGATTGGGACCACATTGGCCCTGCTCCAATCTGCTGGAACTTCTCCCGTTCTCCAAGAACTCTCAAAGATGGTTGCCAATGGTTCCGAAATGACTTCCGCTAGTTCCTTCAATACTCTGGGGTGTAGTTGATCTGGCCCTGGGGACTTGAACTCATTAAGAGCGGCCAGGTATTCCTGGACGACTTCTTTCCCAATTTGGGGTTGGATGTCCTCCAATCACTCATCCACTCCATCTTGCTGAGGTTGAAGACTCTCTTTTTGTGAGAAGACCGAGGCAAAGAAGGCATTAAGTAGTTCTGCCTTTTCCCTATCCCCTGTACAGCATTGCCCCATCTTCTCCGCGAAGAGGTCCTATCGCCTCCTTGTTTTTCCTTTTTCTACTGACATAAGAATAGAAGCCCTTTTTATTGTTTTTAATGTCCCTGGCAAGTCTGAGCTCGTTTTTTGCTTTAGCCTTGCGGACCTTTTCCCTACAGGTTGGCTATTTGTTTGAATTCTTCTTTGGTGATTTCTCCCTTTTTCCACTTCTTGTGCATGTCTCTTTTGTGTCTTAGCACAGTTAGAAGTTCTTTGGACATCCATTCTGGCTTCTTTGCACTTGTCCTATTTTTTCTCTTTTTTGGCACGGTTTGCAATTGCGCCTTGAGTATTTCACTCTTGAGAAATTCCCATCCATCCATAACTCCCTTGTCTTTTAGTATCTGTGTCCACGGAATGCTGCTCAGCGTTTCTTCATTTTTTGGAAATCAGCTCTCCTAAAGTCCAAAATGCGGGTTTGACTTGTCTTAGTTTCGGCCTTCCTTTGTACCTCAAATTGCAGGAGCACATGGTCACTTGCCCCTAAGGATCCTACCACTTCGACCGCATCAATCAGGTCCTCCGCATTTGTTAGGATGAGATCAAGAGTAGCCAATCCCCTTGTTGCCTCTTCTACCTTCTGGACCATGAAATTGTCTGCAAGGCAAGCGAGGAATTTGTTGGACCTTGTACTCTTGGCCGAGTTTGTTTTCCAGCAAATATCGGGATAGTTGAAATCGCCCATGACTACTACATCTCTTCTCTGTGCCTGTTTGGTCAACTGTTGGCAGAAGACTTCATCAAGTTCTTCCTCCTGGCTTGGTGGTCTGTAGTAGACGCCTACAACGACATCTTTTTGAGTCCCAGTTCCCTTGATTCTTATCCAGATGATTTCAAGCTGGTTTCCCAGATTGCTGTCTTGAATCTCTTCTGCAGCATAAGAGTTTTTGACATATAAGGCTACTCCGCCTCCTCTCCCCTTTGTTCGGTTTCTGTGAAAGAGGCTATACCCCTCGATATCTACATTCCAGCGATAGGAGTCATCCCACCAGGTTTCAGTGATGGCTATGATATCATATTTGTGGTGTTGTGCTAAAAGTTGGAGTTCGTCTTGTTTATTTCCCATGCTCTGTGCATTAGTGTAAAGACATGTGAGCCCCTGGGATCTTCCCTTGAGCTGTTTAATTGGGATTATTGTGCTTTTGGTACTTGGTCCTTGTTGTGTTTGTGCAGCCCTCCGTTTAGCCTTCTGGCGATTCCCAGACATTATGGGTAAAGTAGTGTTCGCAAGGCTGTTGTCCCCCTCCCCCGGTGGACCTAGTTTAAAGTGCGTCTAATGAGGTTTGCGAGTCTGTGAGCAAAAAGGTGTTTTCCTACTTGTGTGAGATGCACCCCATCCCTTGCCAGTAGGCCATCCTCCTGGAAAAGCAGGCCATGGTCGAGGAAGCCAAAGCTTTCCTCCTGACACCATTTTCTAAGCCAGTCATTGACCTGTACTATTTTTCTGGCTCTTGTGGGTCCGTGTCTTACAACAGGGAGGAGGGATGAAAAGACCACCTGTACATTACATTCTTTTAGCTTTGCTCCTAGAGCTCGAAAATCATTTGTGATCTTTTGAAACGTATGCCTTGCATTAATTTCACACATGCCTTTGTTTTAAATTCAAATAGATTTTTTTTGTGTCCCACCTGTTTTGTAAAAGAGTAGTAACAGCTTTATGTATGCATAAGCTTCCAAGTGTTCTAATAAAGACAAAACAAGATGCAGCTGCTATTTTTTATTGTGTCATTTATCTAAAGTATTTTTATCAAGCAAAAAAATCTTACAGTATAACATTACCAGGGGAAACAGATAAAGAGTGATCACAAGAAGCAGTGTATAAGGTAAATGTAAACAGTAAATATCATCTTGTCTTGTTCAAAGCTCTGGTTAGACAACTTAATTTATAACACAGGATATATACATTCCCTTTCAAGATTGATCTGTCTCTTCTGAAGAAACTGTTGTAGGTATGTTATCAAGAGCCCCAGCTTCTGCAAAAACAAATTGAAAAAGTATGTGTATACATCCACAAACACATGGGGGGGCGGGGGACACAACACAGTAGCTGAGCAATAAAAGCAGGAACAGGCAAAGCATTTCAAAATAATGTATATAGTGACAATAATAGCAGTATTTTTATACTAATTTATATACAAAGTCAAATATTCTTTCCCTCATATTTTTCCTCAGAAAATGAAGAAAAAACACATATTTTTTGTGTAGCTGACTTGCAAATAGACATGGTTATAGACATTGCTCAAGGCTTAAATGATAAGAACCTAGAAGAGTTCGTGTTTTACACTATAACATCCCACAGACAGTTGTTTTTTCTTGTTCCCAATAGGCTTCATCTGGGTACAAATTCACCTCTGCAATATAGTGGCCCTTGGCTTAGGTAGGAGCCCTGTTCATAGTCGTACTCTAACTATTAACTGATCATAGTAAAGGTAAAGATTTCCCCATACATTAAGTCTAATCATGTCCAACTCGGGGGGGGGGGGTGGTGGTGGTGCTCATCTCCATTTCTAAGCTGAAGAGCCAGCATTGTCCATAGGCACCTCCAAGATCATGTGGCCGGCATGACTAAATGGAGTACCATCACCTTCCTGCGGAAGCGGTAACTATTAATTTACTCATATTTGCACGTTTTCAAACTGCTAGGTTGGCAGAAGCTGGGCCTAACGGTGGGATCTCACCTTGTTCCCTTATTTCTAACCGCCAACCTTTCTGTCAGCAAGATCAGCAGCTCAGCAGTTTGACCTGCTGCACCACCATATTGTATACTGCACCATAATATGCAGGTATAGCTGTGTGCAAAGGTCCCTCACTGAAATTAATTGCAGGTATTCTCTTGTGTAAACTACACTACACAATTGTTCCCCATTATACTATTTCTTCCTTCCATCTCTCCAGATGAGACCTTCAACTAAAAGTTGAAGTATGCCTGTTCAATATGCCAGACAGACTGCTATGTCCTCTTACAGGATCCAGGGCCGTAGCCAGAAAAAATTTCGAGGAGGGGGGGGGTTGAAAATTTCAGGGGGGGAGTTGAAACCTGCCTCCTAGCTCACACTGAAGCCAAGAGCACAGCAGGGGGCAGAGCAGCCTTCAATAGCTTGCAGCTCCGTCCCTGTCAACCACCTCCACCAAGTCTGGCCTCCTTAATTAGAGCATTCAACACAACACCCCCCAACTTGGTTGCTTCGATACATCGGCTATTGCTGCAAGTAATGACAGTGTGAATAAATGGTCAATATTTGCCTGAGATAGGGCTTGCAGTTCTGGAGGGACTCTTTATTTTTTGCGTCTCATAGACTTAGCATGGGGATTTGGTTAACCAGTTAAAATTCATGAGTAAACCAGGTTTATTTTTTTAACCTGAAAAATGGGGGGGGGGGGGGGGGGGGTTGAACCCCTAACCTCCCCCCTCACTACAGGCCTGACAGGATCCATGCTTCTCTTCCATGACTCTATATATATTTCAATCAATCCATATTGGATTGTTTTCTCCCCTTCTTTGTAGCTCCTTCCCCGTGGAGTGGTTTAAAGAAGGTATGAATGATAGTGCAGGTAACTAAGAAAACTAGACAATTTAAATGAAAAAGAGACATCAGCTTACCTTTAAGATGTAAGTAGGTCAAAAATTCAATAATTGTGTGCATAATATTGGCATCGGTTAGTGGTCTTCCAAAAAACCCTGAAAAAAAGTCATACAGAATTACTAGATTTTGGTTACAATGGGAAAATTAGGAGCAGGGAGGAAGATCCTACAATTATAGCATATGTCAATATTCCAGAGACATGTGCCTATTGCTGTAACAAACAGTTTAAGACAGTAAATAAAATAATTTTAAAACCATTTTAAAGCACAACAGAGACAGACAGAAACAAAATCAAAAGTACAACAAGCCCTTTTAGGAGCCCCTTTCTCAAAAACTGTTAAAAAGCTCAAAAGCCCATCTGAACAAGAGATTTGGTATTGTACCTGATCCATGCAGCTATGTACTTTGGTTTTGCTCTAGGCCAGTGGTTCTCAACCTGGGGTCCCCAGATGTTTTTGGCCTACAACTCCCAGAAATCCCAGCCAGTTTACCAGCTGTTAGGATTTCTGGGAGTTGTAGGCCAAAAACATCAGGGGACCCCAGGTTGAGAACCACTTCTCTAGGCCAAGGAACCGTGCTTTGAGAAGGAAAGGACGACTTTAAGAAGACAATCCAGGGGAGCTTCCACAAATGCATCGATGTACACACTAGAAGTGACCATCTGAGTAAACTCCTCACTTAGCTAGCTTCATTGTGGAATGCCGATAAGATTTTACATGAGCAAAATTTAATGATTGAATTAAGATGATATGACAAGCTTGAAAAAAGCATATGAAGTGGGGAGGGAAGAACTCCAAGTACCACCTGAAGGCAAAACAATAGGCATGACCTTCTATTTATCTTTGCTTGACAAATGATTAGAAAGGTTGGGAATTCAGAGCATATGGTGGCACTTATTCCTGGCTCATTATCAGAAGGGGAAAGTGCCAGTGTTCAGTGTCTTCTTCGCTTGGATTATAAACATTTACAAAAGCTTATGCCAAATAAAGTTTGCAAGTCTTTATTTGGCTTTTCTATGGGAGCTAATAATAGTCAAAGGGACATTCCAGATACTGTATCTTAAAATGGGGTCACACAAACCATACATGAGTTGATTGTTTATTGATGATGGAATATTCAGACTGTACCAAATACTGGTCTTTGTCACATTAGAATGATTTGATAAACGTGGATTTGATATGTGTGGATATGAATGGAATTGAATGAAAGATGAATGAATGAGACCTAATAGTTTGGCTGAAGACACCATTCTAAATCATTAACTGACTGCTTGCTGGACTATAATTAAAAGTTGCTAATGAGAACTGAAATGGTAAACTGTGATAAGAACTGTGGCATAGATAAGATAAATGTTTACATCTGTCAACATTTGCTGAAACCAGATTAACTCTTAAGGAAATGATCTCTGTTTACATTAGTCAAAGACAATGCTCTTTCAAGTCAAACCATGGTTCGTTACCTGAAGATCAACATCCATGTCAGCAAGTTAAGACTCAAGATAATTTCAAACAGGACAATTATTTACTACATCAGCAGAATATTCTTATAAAAGACTCAGTCTAATAATTCTCAAGTGTGACAGACCAGAGGAGTCTGGCTCACCCGCTGTTCTCTGCTCCATTGGGAAGGAGAGAGATAGTGTACCATACAGAGTGTCAGATCTGCTGTGGGAAAGAAGGATTCTGTACACACTGAAAATTGCAATCAAAATAACCTGGTTTAAAGTATTCATGACATCTTTGGAGAATTTGGAGGAGAGACTCTCTTTAGAAACTATAAAGGTGTTTCACGAGCAGCTTTTCAAATCTCTCACACTAAAAGGAGACAATTTCCTTACCTGCTTTTATATTTTCTTCGGGCGGTATGTCACGTTTTCCAGCTAAACCATGCTTATCATTAAAAACTCTGTCTATTGCATCTATTGATAAAAGGAGAGAGAGGAGATTTCTTACCCTAGAATATGTTGAGACCGATACATGTCGCTACACCAAGTAAAAAGGGTTTTTGTTTTTAGCAAGAACATTATGGACGCTTGTGATGAAATGATGCACAGTGACCGCACCAACAACCACAAGTAAAGCATTTCACTGAAACTCTCACACCACCTTTAAACCAATACACCTGACTGATATACAACTACACCAGCACCAGCACAAAGTCACACTGTATGATATTAACACCTGCTGTTTTGATGGTTCCTGGCCACTGGCTCAGTCAAATGAGAGAACTGAGCCATTTGCGCTGAATTACATAAAGGCATCGCCTGTACAATATCTTGTTTGTCCATTCCTAAAAGATTATGAGGTTTAAGGGAGTTCATATTTTACTACTATGCATAAATGCACATTCCTGGGCCCATTGTGTCCAATTCAGGAAATGGTGTAGTGCTGTTGAATTTAAGGAGCATATTGCCGGATAGTTTGCTTTGATAGCAAACTAAGTTAGTTTACACGAATAACCTATGAAAGCCATCTTACATTCCCCAGGTGGCTCTTCTTTCCCCCTTGTACTGGGCATTTCCTTGAGGAGCTGTTCAATACGACCTGAAATAGATGATGGCTATTATCCAACCTTAGAGAAAACGGAATTTGATAAGTAGATCTCCTTCGCATGGTTTGGATATTTGACCGTACACCCAGTCTCTTCTGTCACGGTCCACTCAAAGCTATACATGCAGAACACTTAAAATATTCAAAATAGATGGATTTGGATGTTTAGTTCTTAATAATTTTTTTGCTTTGATTTTATAAGCAAGGACTTCTCCCATTTTGGCCCCTAAAATTATTGCTATGGTATATGATTGCCATAACTAAAATACTGAATAGCTGTTCTGAATATAACATGAATAAAAAGCAACAAAGGAACATATGTGAGGTTTAATTTTCTGAATTTTATTTAAACAAGTACAGTTATTTGTAAGTAAAATTGACACGCTTTCTTCTTTCTCCTATGTTGGAAGTTCAGCTGCAATTTAAAAGTATATGTGTGTGTGATGCTCTATGGATTTGGTCAACTCCTTCCAGAACTTGTTGGAATTTAAACCACAAGAAGCCCTTTTCGGGAAGATCGTATTTCCAATTGATTATTAAAAATTAAGATAAACCAGCACTCAAGAGAATGAACTGTCCCCTGGTGGAAAACAGGGCAGCAGCGTTGTTGGGAAATGTTCCCCAGATACTCAGGAAACGATAAGTGAGTGAATGGTTTCAACCTCAGAGAAACACGCTATCACGATAACACTTTTAGTCTTGGATTTATCCAAGTAGGGTTTTCACACCTAAATTTTGCCTCCTCTCCAGCTTGGTTTGGTTTTTCTCTTGACGAATTTTAAATGGCTGGGTCATGGATGGTACTGTATATACTCGAGTATAAGTCAACCCCAATATAAGTTGAGGCATCTAATTTTACCATAAAGACCTGGGGAAACTTATTGACTTGAGTATAAGCCAAGGGAGGGAAAGGCAGCAGCTACTGGTAAATTGCAAAAATAAATGGGAAGGGGTGGTTAAAAAGTGGGAAAATGAGGTGGAAAGGGGGTAGCTGGAAAACTAGGGCAGATTGGAGTAGGAAGGGGGCAACTGGGGAAGGGGAAACAACTGAGGTGTGAAGGGGGGGGGGTGGAAACTGGGAATAGTTGGGATGGCAAGGGGGGGTGGAAAGATGCCAGTCTAGAGAAAGGGTGGGCTGGAAAGGTGGAAAGACTGGAGTAGGAAGGGGGCAAGTAGAGAAGTGGGAAAGACTGGGGTGAGAAAGAAGGGCTGGGAAAGTGGGAAACTGCTGTGGGAAAGGGGACAAGACTGGAATGGGAAAGAGAGGCTGGAACCTGGGAAAGGCTGGGATGGAAAGCGACCTGGAAAATTGGGAGAGAGGGTCTGGGGATAGTAAAGACTGGGGTAGGGAGGGGGAAACTAGAAAAGGGGAAGACTAGGGTGGGAAAGGGGTGCTGGAAAAGTGGGTAAAAACTACGGTGGGAAGGGAGGAAGTGTAAAGGACTGGGGAGAGGAAGGTGCGCAGCCTCTCCTCCCCTCTTGGCACAGCAAACCAGCTGGGTTGCTGTGCCGAGAGGAGAGGAAGGTGCAAGGGAGAGCAAGAGAAGGAGTGTGTGCTCTCCTCTTCTCTCACCAGCTGAGTTGCTGTGCAGTGAGGTGAGAGTTCTGAGGAAGGTGTGGGGCTGAAAGAAGGGCTTCTTTCAGCCCCATGCCTTCCCGCCAGGACCCTTGCTCAAGTATACGCTATGGGGGCTTTTTCAGCCTTAAAAAAGGGCTGAAAAATGAGGCTTATACTTGAGTATATACAGTAACTGTTTTTTCCCCTCATAGTTAAGCACACATGCCTATATAAAACATATTATGCAAGAGATTGTTTAGCAAAAGTCCCATATTAGTGCTTTCAGTGAAACTCAGCAGTAAACCACCTCTGACTCTGTTTACAGCCATGTTATTATTTTTATGATGCTTCTGTTGTGTTTGTGTTATGTTTTTATTTATTTATTTCAATGCTGTTGTTTTTACTTGTGATTTGGGCTTGTCCCCATGTAAGCGCCCCGAGTCCCCTTGGAGAGATGGTGGCAGGGTATAAAAATAAAGTTATTATTATTATTATTATTAGTAGTAGTAGTAGTAGTAGTAGTAGTAATAGTAGAAGTAGTAGTATTAGTAGTAGTAGTAGTAGTAGTAGTAGTATTCTGTAGTGTTGTAGAAGATGGTCTTATGGATGTCTCCCTCTTTAGATAGTCATGTGTTTTTTTCACAAACTGCAAAATATGGCAAACACGATCCTATTGTATTTCGGGGCCTTCAAACCAAAAGAGACTGTGGCCTCAAAATCTGGTCTTGATAGCACTATTAACACCTGAAATAGGTATATTCTAAATCACACAATTCATACTATTCAATAGCAGAAAACAAAGCAAATGAGAACAGAAGCAGATTAGCTCTGAAGCAGAAAAAAACCCCTCGTTTTCAAACATTATATTCCTTCTGTATATGAAATGTAATGAATGGTTCCAGGAAAGCTGATAAGCATGTCTAGAGAGATATCAGTACGTATGTTTAATGTATCTGGGTATGGTGTTGCTTTGGAGCTGAAAAATGAGCTTTCAGATGAAATTGGTTTACTCTCAGAATTCAAGTGTGGTAATAGAATAATTGTTCTTTCAGAGTACTCCACTGTAAGTAGGTTAAAATAAAAATGAGAGACCAGTAACGGAGTGATTTAGTATTTACTCTCTTCCACAGTTGACAACGAGAGTTAGTATGAGATATTATAAATACCATTATGCACTTCTAGAGCACTCCAGCTCATATCAAAGAGCTCTGGAAACACTCTGTTATTTCAGATTATATTCAATAATATAAAACACATGAACTCACGTGGGCCAAGGAGATAGCCAGCACTATTCATAGTCCATCCTCTTTTCTCTTTAGCCTTATAAAGGGAACATGGTGAACAATTATTATTGTATTTGCGACATAATTTTACTTTTAAAAGATAAAAGCAGCAGCTAAGGAAATGAAATAATGTCATAATACGCATATATAAAGTTCTGGTTTTATGTGTCATTTATTAACTGTCCCTATTTCTAATCCTATGCACAAACCCCCACAATCAGGACAGGCATTTATCGTGTTCAGTGTATTGCTGAAGGCTTTCATGACCAGAATCACTGGATTGCTGTGAGTTTTCCCGGCTTTATGGCCATGTTCCAGAAGCATTCTCTCCTGATGTTTCACCCACATCTATGGCAGGCATCCTCAGAGGTTGTGAGGTCTGTTGGAAACTAGGCAAGATTTATATATCTGTGGAATGTCTAGGGTGGGGGAAAGAACTCTTGTCTGCTTGAGGCAAGTGTGAATGTTGCAATTGGCCACCTTGATTTAATTTAGGTTGAGGTTTAATTTGATGTTAGGTTATATTTTTTTTCATATGTGGGTTTTTTTTCCTGGGACTTTATGTTGCCATTTGTTTGTTTTATGGAGGCATTGAATGTTTGCCGTTGTATGTTGGAAGCCGCCCTGAGTTCCACTGGGGAGATAGGGTGGGATACAAATAAATTATTGTTGTTGTTATTGTTGTTATTGATTAGCGTTGATTAGCATTGGTCTTGCAGCTTCAATGTCTGGTTGGTTGCTGCCTGGGGAAATTCTTTGTTGGGAGGTGTTAGCTGGCCCTGATTGATTTTTGTCTGGAATTCCCCTGCTTTTGGGGTGTTGCTCTTTATTTATTAATAGTAATAATATTAACAATATCAGAAAGAGAGAACTAGATAGAAATTGCCACAAACTACCATGGAGCCGCTAAGTATGTACTCATTTGATTTTCATGTCAGAAATTCATCTATAATTTGAAATGATTTTATTTTTATAAGAACTTGATCATAACTTTGTTTAATGCCTTCTGTACTATTTCTTTTATCCTGAATGTTCTGTTCTGTTCTGTACTTGTTTTTGGGCCCTTTGTCAAAGCTATTGTCTAACATATTGATGTCTTGGTATTAGAAAAAAGAAATACTGTACACTTGCCTCAAACTTGCCTTAAATAGACAAGACATTTGCCTCAAGCAGACAAAAGTTCTTTCTCCCACCCTGGACATTCCACAGATAGATAGATAGATAGATAGATAGATAGATAGATAGATAGACAGACAGATAGAGTCTAGTTTGCAACAGACCTCACAACATATTGTTGAAGGCTTTCATGGCTGGAATCACTGGGTTGTTGTGAGTTTTCCGGGCTGTATGGCCATGTTCCAGAAGCATTCTCTCCTGACATTTCGCTGCATCTATGGTAGGCACCCTCAGAGATTGTGAGGTTTAAGCTATTCAGAAGTGACATTGTTTAAGCTATTCAGAAGTGACTCTCTTGATTTCAATTGGATTGAAATCCCATTACTGTATTTCTAAAAACAAACTTTCAATTACAACCTCTGAGGTTGTAACCTCTGAAAGTTGGCCCCAACTTTCAATTACAACCTCTGAGGATGCCTGCCATAGATGTGGTTGAAATGTCAGGAAAGAATGCTTCCGAAACATGGCCATACAGCCCAGAAAGCTCACAGCAACCCAGACCTCACAACCTTTGAGGATGCCTGCCATAGATGTGGATGAAACGTCAGGAGAGAATGCTTCTGGAACATGGCCATACAGCCTGGAAAACTCATCGCAGCCCAATAATACAGTATTTCTTCAATTGTAGGATGTCGCTGACTGTAAGGCGCACCCTAATTCCAGTAGCACCTTCACTTGCAATTCTAAGATGCATCTCATTTTTAGATTTTTAGATATAGAGGAGGAAATTGTGTCTTAGAATGGAAGAAAATTATAACAACCACCACAACAACATAAAACCAAACACCCATCCTATCAAATCAGGTGCTATATGCTTTATTTTATTTAGGTAAAGGTAAAGGTTTTCCCCTGACATTAAGTCCAGTCGTGCCCGACTCTGGGGGTTGGTGCTCATCTCCATTTCAAAGCCGAAGAGCCGGCATTGTCTGTAGACACCTCCAAAGTCATGTGGCCGGCATGACTGAAAGGAGTGCCATTACCTTCCCCCCGGAGCGGTACCTATTGATCTACTCACATTTGCAATTTTTTCAAACTGCTAGGCTGGCAGAAGCTGGAGCTGACAGCGAAAGCTCATGCCACTCCCCAGATTCGAACCTGTGACCTTTTGGTCAACAAGTTTAGCAGCTCAGTGGTTTAACCCACTGAGCCACCGGGGGCTCCCTTATTTTATTTATTTCATATCAAAAGCATTGCATAAAGTAGTATAAAACCGATAAAAATAGAAGGAGCACAAGCAGCTAAATATCTTTGGACCAAAAACGGGCAAAAAACCCCGCATTGTCTATAGCCATGATGGTGAACCTATGACACGTGTGTCAGCACTGACACGCATGGCTATTTTTGATGACACGCAGACACATGTGGCCACATACAAAGAAATACACCTTATAAAAGCCAATCTAATGCCATCCTTAAATTTGTAAAAGGCTCTACAAATTTAACATCTGCATGTTTGAGCATTGTTCACTTCATAACTCAGCATGGATTATACATTTTTCTTATTTAAACTATAAATATTGCAAAATTATGGGGTTTTTTCTCAAAGTGACACTCCACCCAAGTTATGCTCAGATTTTTGGCAAATTTTGACACACCAAGCTCAAAAGGTTGCCCATCACTGGTCTATAGCCTCCAATCATTCTTCCTCTGTACATAGAATCCTAGAGTTGGAAGAGACCTCATGGGTCATCCAGTCCAACCCCCTGCCAAGAAGCAGGAAAATTGCATTCAAAGCACCCCTGACAGATGGCCATCCAGCCTGTATTTAAAAGCCTCCAAAGGAGATTCCATCTGAACATGAGGAAGAACTTCCTGACTGTGAGAGCCGTTCAGCAGTGGAACTCTCTGCCCCGGAGTGTGGTGGAGGCTCCTTCTTTGGAAGCTTTTAAACAGAGGCTGGATGGCCATCTGTCAGGGGTGCTTTGAATGCAATATTCCTTCTTCTTGGCAGGGGGTTGGACTGGATGGCCCATGAGGTCTCTTCCAACTCTGTGATTCTATGATTCTATGGAGCTTCCACCACACTCAGGGGCAGAGAGTTCCACTGCTGAACAGCTCTCACAGTCAGGAAGTTCTTCCTGATGTTCAGATAGGGCAGGACATTGCGGACAAGCATACAGGCGCGGAGATGTCTGTTCTGCTCCACGGTCGCACAAGGTGGAGGATTCTAGGTGCTGATTCAGGTGGGGGGGGGGGGGGGGGAGAGAAGCAAACACCAGATTTGGAAAGGAGTACTTACAGATAAAACCAGCCCGAAAGTCTCGGAGAGGGCAAAGCAAAAGATTAAGGAGATAAACAGGAGGCTACTCCACCTCTGCATCTGAAAGGAGATCAAAATACAGTTAATGCACAGTGCCAGCTGGTTTTAGGAGAGGTTAGAGATTAAGGCAGGTGTATGGGCAAACTTGGGTCCTCCAGGCGTTTTGGACTCCAACTCCCAGAATCCCTAACAGCCTCAGGCCCTTTCCTTTTCCCCCTCCGCCGCCTAAGCGGCTAGGCTGCTGAGGGGAAAGGAAAGGGCCTGAGGCTAGGGATTCGGGGAGTTGGAGTCCAAAACACCTGGAGGACCCAAGTTTGCCCATATGCCTGCATGAGAGTATTTCTTTTCCCCTCGCCGCCTGTGAATGCAAAGAAAGAGGAAAAGGCTGTACCTTGGAGAGCGAAGTCTGGGCTCCTCTGAGGCTGGACTCTGAGTCGAAAGAGAGAGCGATAGAGATAGATGGGGCGGTCTCTTCAGCGGGTCTCTCTCTGCCTCTCTCTCTCTCTCTGTGTTCACTGCATGCCTTTCAGGGCGGAGAAGTGGTATTTATGGAGCCCGGGCTGGCCTCTCCTTCCCTCCAAGGGGCGAGAGCCGCCCACGGCCTCCCAGTGGCCCAGGCAGGGCATTAGGAAGGGCAAACACACACACACACACACACACACACATATGAAAGGAAAAGGACCGCGATTCAATTAGCGGCAGGCAAGATGTGGGCTGCAGATGGAGCAATTACCTTTCATTACGCGGGGAGGGGGGGGGGGGGAGAGAGAGAGATTCCCGCCTTCCTCCTTTCCTTCTCAACTTCAGGACTTCTTCTTTGTTGTTGTTGTTGTTGTTGTTTTGAGAAGGAGGGAGGCACCTAGGCTTCCCTAGACTAGGCATTTTCATCCCCTTTTTCAAACTCTTATGGTACTCCTTCGACTTCTCGCCGGCGATTTACTTTTAACAGCCTCTGAGGATGCCCACCATAGATGCAGGCAAAACGTCAGGAGAGAATGCTTCTGGAGCATGGCCCTGCAGCCCAGAATGTCAAGGCATTTTATGGTACTCCTTCGACTTCTTACTTTTCACAACCTCTGAGGATGCCCGGCATAGATGCAGGCAAAGCTTCAGGAGGGAATGCTTCTGAAGCATGGCCCTACAGCCCGAAAAACATACACCAACCCAGGGCCCTTCCTTCCACACAGCCCTATATCTCAGAATGTCAAGGCCTCTCCTTATTCTGGCTCTCATGGTACTCCTTCAACCTCTTACTTTTCATAACCTCTGAGGATGCCCGGCATAGATGCAGGCAAAATGTCAGGAGAGAATGCTTCTGGAGCATGGCCCTACAGCCCAGAATGTCAAGGCCTCTTATGGTACTCCTTTGACTTCTTACTTTTCACAACCTCTGAGGATGCCCGCCATAGATGCAGGCAAAACGTCAGGAAAGAGTGCTTCTGAAGCATGACCATACAGCCCAGAAAACACACAACAACCCAGGGCCCTTCCACACAGCCCTATATCTCAGAATGTCAAGGCCTTCCCTTCTTCTGGCTCTTATGGTACACCTTCAACTTCTTACTTTTCACAACCTCTGAGGATGCCCGCCATAGATGCAGGTGAAACATCAGGAGAGAATGCTTCTGAAGCATGGCCCTTCAGCCCAGAAAACACACAACAAACCAGGGAACAGAATGGGAAAAGGAACATGGGCCCAGAGGTGCCAATGGCTTTAATAGGTATATACTTCTATAGGTAAAACAAAAGTGTTTTTAGGTATTTCAAAGTTAACTTCTAGCATAATAGGTTTAAATTGAAAATGGAGAGATTACATCATGCACACACTCCAGGTAATATCTTACACTTCCTTTGTGCCCTTTGTTCCGTTTATTAGTGGACACTTTCTTTATTAGACCATCCTCTTGGGTTGTTATTTTCAAAGCAAAAAAAAAAAGAGGATGTTTTCAAGCAGAGGGGGGAGAAGAGACACTCCTTGGCTTGAGGAGTTCCCAATGGGGAGGGCTAATACCTACTGTCACAACAACTCCCATGATTTCATAGCATTTTTTGTGACTTCATAAATTCCAAGTCTGCAAGGATGTTGCCCAAGGGATGTCCGGATGTTTTACCATCCTGTGGAAGGCTTCTCTCATGACCCTACATGAGAACCTGGAGCTGACAGAGGGAGCTCAACTCGCTCTCCCCAGATTTGAACCACTGACCTGCCGGTCAGCAGTCCTGCCAACACAAGGGTTTAACCCATTACATCCCCAGGGCTCCATTTCATAGCATTGAGTGATGGCAATTAAAGTGGAATCTACCTGCATTAATTCTACAGAGTTAATGCAACAACAACAACAACAACAACAAAAATCAACAATAGGAGAAATCAGAGAGAACTAGTCCTAACCCCATAACCCAAAATCAACTTCAACTACCACCCCACTCCATAAAACAAATGTGGATCTGAAAATCTAACATATTTACTGCTAAAATGAGCAGCAAGCCAAAATGTGCTATTTTTAAAAATACAACATTCTAGGATTGATAGATGTCATGATCTGAAAATAAAGGCTATCTATCAAGATGCCACATTTGAAGGGTATGTGAACTTTGTTCTGAATACAATAGCTAGGATCCAGGACATGAATACTGCTTGGTCAAACAGTAACAACAACAACAACAACAACAACTTTATTTGTAAGCCAGCCATTGAAGAGCACTTGATGAACCAACCTGTACACAGCATATTATTTGAGAACACAGAAATGCTGGACCACTCTAACAATTACCATGTCAGGCTACACAGAGAAGCCAGTGAAATCCACAAGCATGTGGACAATTTCAACAGAAAGGAAAAGAACCATAAAAATGAACAAAATCTGGATACCAGTATTAAAAAACTCTAAAACCAGAACGGTAAATAAAGAGCAACACTCAAACACAGGGGAATTCCAGACAAGAAACAATCAGGACCAGCTAACACCTCCCCACAAAGGATTATCCCAGGCAGAAAGCAGTCAGGCTTTGAAGCTGCAGGGCCATTAAAATGCTAATCAAGGTGGCAAATTGCTACATTCACATGTGCCTCAAACAGACAAGAGTTCTTTCTCCCACCCTGGACATTATTCCACAGGTATATAAACACCACTTGCCTAGTTTCCAACAAACCTCACAACCTCTGAAGATGCCAGCCATAGATGTGGGTGAAACGTCAGGGGAAAATGCTTCTGGAACATGGGCATACAGCCCGTAAAACTCACAGCAACCCAGTGATTCTGGCCATGAAAGCCTTTGACAACACAAGGCTAGAACTGTATATTAATTTAGGAATTCAAGCATGCCTCTAATTTACAGTCTGATAATGAGATTGATGAAAGCAACTAAGTGTCTAGGTTAAGGTTTCCTTTGCCACTATACCAATACATAACAAATCAGGGCAATGCTCAGTAAAACAGAATGAGATAATAAAGTTTTCATGCATGCGTTTTTCTAAAGAACCATATAAGAAAAATGGCAATAATATGAAATCTAAACAGTCCAGCTTGGCAATGAAGACATAAATACGGAGCCTATCACTGCATATTGATTACATTTCATAATGAAAGCTATTTATTTTCATACTGAATTGTTTTTTTTAAATATCTGCTATTCCTTTCTACATTTTATTTTAATTTTAATTTTAAAAAGAACAATGGAGCAAATAAATAACTCTATGGAAAGCTCATGAATGTATCTGTTGCTATTAGCTGTGTTCACTTTCCAGATCTCTTCCAAAAACTGGAATACTATATTCTTAAACCTTTAATTTTAAACCTGATAATTCCTCATCAAATCTTTGGTGCAAAAATCTCATCTTTCTTGAGTAGACGATGAAAGTCTCGTCTACTATGAGGCACTCAATGCTGCATTTCTAGACATCCTTTTATGGATTCCCCCATCTTTTAATCTCAAGCTATGTTGTCAGTTAGATCTACTCATATACTAGGTGTTGCTGTTAGTCAAGAACATGATTAGTTCTTTTTTATCACGTACAATAATCTGTCTAGTTGTGCAGGGAGAAGACTGCACAGTCTCATACTTGCTTTTGTAGTATTACCATTGAAATGAGCCATTTCTCCAGATAAAAGTGAAGTTTAATAATTCAGCAAACTTTCAAATAGATTCACTTCTTATGGTTCTTGGCCATGAAAAAGAACCTCAAGATTTCCTATTGAAATTGCTTCTTGTATGAGTGCTGGGTTTTCTTGGGGGTGGATGATCTATCCCAGATGCATCCCTATCCCTCAAACAAAACTTTTCTAACTGTTTTTCTGCAAATTTCCTTCTTTCAGTTCCGTTTGACCTGAGATGCTGAAAAAACTCAGAAGTCCCTTCTGCTTCATGTTGCTATTGGTATTACTTGAGGTCATACTTCATTCTGTGTCATGCTCTGTTTTCTGTTCAGACTGCTGTCTCATGATCTCTGGCCATTTCCTCAATTTTTTTCTCATTCTTTCTTTGGTGCCATTGTGTACAATCCACCCCTGTTTCTGATTGATAATAATAACTTTATTTCTATCCGCCTCTATCTCTTTGATGGGGACTCAGGGTGGTTCACAACATAACAGTGGCAAACATTCAGTGTTGTAAAGTGCAACTAAAAACAAACAAACAAACAATAAATACAGCCCAGAAAACTCACAGCAATCGAAACCATAAATCAATTAATAATATATTAGACATCAACATAACACAACAGTGAAACATTACAACAAAATTAGAACCATACAGCTAAAATACACCCTTTTAATGAATAAGCAAAGCTTAGAAATTAAAACCAATAGGATGTAAACATGAAACTTTTTAAAACCAGAATAACATGTTATTTCCTATTCCATTATATTTGTGCCAGGTATTTTATTTGTCCTCCTCTCTATATGCTTGTAAGTATTAAAAGGTCTTTAGTTGTTTTTTAAAAGAGAGCAAGGAGGCTGCTGTTGTAATCTCCTTAGGCAGTGTGTATATGTGTGTGTGGCCACAGAGATGGCCCTTTCTCTCGTTCCCACCAGCCATGCTTGGGATGGGGGTGGGACCGAGAGCAGGGCTTCATCCACTGATTGCAGCACCTGGGCAGGCTCGTTGGTGGAGATGCGGTCAGACAGATAGTCTAGGCCACGACCATTTAGGACTTTAAAGATAATGACCAGCAGTTTGAATTTTGCCTGGAGCTAATGTCACATGGGAGTGGTTCTCTCCCTGTATGGAGTCCCAGTTAATACTCTGGCTGCTGATCTCTGAACCAGCTGAAGCTTCAAAGGCAGCCCCACATCAGTGATTATATGAAGATGTGCAGCATTAGCTAAGCTGTTAACAGAGGAAGTTGGTTCAATGTGTTTCTTGGCTTCTCCAGTGACCGTATATGGAAAAAGGAATGTCAAATGGCAAAAGCCACAATTTCTGAAATCAGAAGGACATTGTGCCCTCATCTACAATGAAAAAGAGCAATTATGGGCGAACCTGTTTCTGTATAGGAGCATGTTGCCATGACACTACAGCAGCTCTCTGGGATGCATTTCCATTACAAATTGGCTTAGGGATTGCTAGCTCCGCTGAAATGATGTCAGTGGAACATATGTTGCTGTTGC